TTTGAGGTTATATTGAAGCATGGCTCATAACCCAATAGAAAAAAAACATGTAAACACAATTTCAAAAACAATACAAAACCATAACATGTCACATGAACACCTTATTTAATTTTCACACCTTTTGTATTCAATTCATAAATATTCTTGCACGCAAGCAATCGTGCCATTTTTGCACGAATCGAAGGAAACTGAGTGATCACTAGCACCATCTATCCCTAACTTACCCCAAAAAGTTTACAAAACCGCGACACCTTAACGCACATAAACAATTACTCAAGCAAGGTTTTTCAAAAAATCTATTGATAACGATATTGTTTAGTGAAACACGTTTTGCGGTTTTGTAAACTTTTTATAGTGGAAATCAAAATGAATATTTTAAGTAAATTTTGTAAAAATGTGATGGAGAGTTTTGGCAGTTTGTTCCCCCATTCATGAGCACTTGCTGAAACTAGCAAAACTATTTCTCAAATGTTATATATATTCCATTTATATCTGTCAGAATTGATATGCACACAGATAAAAATAATAATATTCTTTCAGTCCATTATCACATGAATTATCGGCATACAGATCAATGGAACATGGAGTATGGATGATTTCTGTTGGGTTCAGTTGAATTTTCCATATACTGTATGATTTATATTATTATGTATACTGAGAAAAAATTAAATGTTGTCAAATAAAAGTTTTCGAGTTGAATGAAAGTCAAAGTTATTTTCTCTCAAAAAGTTAAATAGTTATTTACCATCGAAAACTAACATTTGGCGACCGTGACAGGACACAATAACGATAGAAAACCTCAATAGAGAAAGCGAGCAGTTACGAAGACTTTTCATCAAAACCACCAATGTCTTAGATGTAACACTAACGAAGCAGAAACAGACAACAGTTGCTAGAGACTCTATGACGACTGATATACAAAGCTGATAGAATATACGCACTGAATGAGCTAATCAAAGAAAAATATTTTCGAGCAATCCTACCGAAGAAGAGTTTGATCGAGTTGAACATAAATTACCGTTCGATATGCGATGTTATAATCAAAAAGGCGACACAAGGAGATCAAGAAACGTGTTTCCAATAAGTCCACTGGAGAGACCAGAAAAAAATTTCGACTTTCCTAACTTGAACTGAAAAAGTTTGATGGCAACGAAAAAAACTGGATTAGTTTCTGGGGACAGTACCGCAAAATCTACGAGGATGAAGAAATAGATCTAGATGATACATTTCAATACCTACTGCAGGCAACAGAACCAGATACTGTTGCCAGAGAATTAATGTTAAGTTTGTCGCCTTCTGATTAAAATTATGAAAAAGCTATCGACCAATTGAAAGGACGTTTGGCCAGGGATGAATTTCTGATTGCTGAGATCTTGTTCTCAATCAAGCAACTAATATGTCGAGTAGGACTTTGTCCTTTTTGTATGACATGTTGAATACTCAAATAAGATAATTGGAAACGCTTGGAGTGACTACCGATAAGTATGACGCCATGCTCTTCCCATTAGTTGAATCTGCAAGAGTAAAAGTAATCCGATTTGCTCATTTTGTAATTAGTCGCATGCAAGTCAGGATGTCTTAAAGCTCAAAGAAAGAAAGCAAAATTATTAGCAAAAAAGGGTTGTTTTAACTGCTCGAAAATCAACCACAGAAGCCGAAGTTTTCATAATGTGTTCGATTTGTACAAAGAGACAGTTTCCAATTTTGTGTCCCGAATTTTCTGTAAAAAGCGATTCCAAGACTGATGAACTTTTTGATGAGAAGTTTGAGCATGTTCTCACTTATAAATTTTGTAACGATTTTCTGTTGCAAATCATTTTTAGTCAGACTGGTGAATAGTGCCATAGAAAAGATTGTACGAGCTTTATGAGATTTAAATTCAAAGAGATCATATATATTGTCAAAATCTGTGAAACAATTGGGATGTGTGAAATCTCGTGACGAAAGTATTTTACGAAGTGTGTTTGGAGGTGTACAGTAAGCTTCATAATTACATGGAATATTCGATATAAGTGTCGAAAACCTTGGGAGGGACGATTTGCAGTTTCATACAGCGTTTGGAAGATTTATCGTTTATCAATATTTTGAAAAAAAATATCATTTTGAATGAAGTAACTGTAAAAATGATCCTCGAGATTTCGAATAACTATTGGGTGCTGATATTTTCAGGCAACTTCTCTCGGGAGAAGTAAAAAATCTAGACGATCATTTATTTGCAATAGAAACCCATTTAGGGTGGACAGTGGAATGTCAAAAATTAAATGATTTTCTCTGGAGTTTCTAATTGTTCATTGACAGATTTATGAAACCGTACATATTCTGGGAATAAAAGATCCAGCTGAAGTGAAAATTGAGAATACCATTGATGAGTAAACAATGGCAGAATTAGTGCCATTGTTTGCTGTTGTATGGTCATAGAAAATCCGAAAACCTTAAAGTCGGAGATATAGTTTACGTTGCTTCTGATACCATTGAACGATTAAAATTGCCTTTAGGAAGGATACTGAAGGTGATTCCTGGTATGGACGAGATAGCTAGGGTTACTTGAATCAAAACTAGGAACAGAGAAATCATTAGACCATTTCAAAGGATTCAATCCTCTGGAAATTCCTGACAGAGAAGACACTAACAAACTGCATGATATAAACAACTCCATTAAGGAAATGAACGTCTCCAAGCCAGCTGATTTTGATGAAGATGTGGGTTCGAAAGCAGAAGAGAATGTCGGTTTGAAGAAAATTGTTACGAAATGCGGTAAAATCGTCGGGCCATCTGCAAGATTCGAATCCAGTTAGCTACAAGATGAAGATATTTTTTTGCAAATGAAGTTTATGATTTTCATTTTTCCATTTAATTTATTGCTTCAATTGCAAAAGGGGGGAGGACGTTGGTTTACTTGAATTTCAAATATACTATTTAATTTATATTACAATGTATATCGAGAAAAAATGAAATGTTATTGTTGTCAAATAAAAGTCGTCGAGTTGTATGAAGGTCAATGTTATTTTCTCGCAAAAATAACAATTCTCAATCAAAAAATAATATTAATGTTATTAATGTTAAATAACAGTAATGTTATGTTTCGATAGAAAATCGTTGCTTTTTGGGAGAAAATAACTGACTCTTATTCACTAAACTAAGTAAACCCATCAATTTCTTCATCAGAGAAGGCTTTTCAAGAAGAAATGCAGATCATGAAGCATATTGCATGTAATAATCATATTCCAGTCAACTCAATTGAGAAAATATTCTTCAATAAATACCATGAATTGATAATGAACTATATCTAAATCATGAAGAACCTACCTAAAGAAGCTAAGAAATATGCTAGCATAAGCTATTCGGGAAAGCTCTCTGATAACAAAAATCTATTTTACAAAATTTAACATAATGATGTCATTTATCACTAAGCATAATTTGGGAAACATGTTATTCAACGCAAAACCCAGAAGAGATAAGTGGAAAAAATCAGATATATATAAATTAGAATGTAGTGACTCATCAGCAGCTTGTACAGGCCAGGCAGACACAAATTTTAACATAAGGAACCGTGGGAATGTGTTATCCGATAAAAAATCAGCTATATATGGATATCTACATCTAGATACGTGCAATAAAGGAAGGGAGATGAATTTGTTGAAAACATTAAAAATGAATAAATTGAAAAAACACTAACTTTAAATCCCTCTATGACCAAGTAGAACTATGCAGCTCTTTTCTTTTGAATTTGTGAATTTTGACAACTATAATAGTTCAGGATCCGTTGGTATTTGAAGCAATCCAAAAGCTGTGTTTCTGGATGGAAGTTGAATAATTATTGTTTTAGTATCTCAGATAAAGTATTGATGATTCAGGCAACAATTTTATCATCATAAGTACAGATTTACCCAACCTACCTGAATGAAATTGACTATATTCAAGGATTTATTTGTCAAACGTTTACCTGAGAAGAGTTTAATAAACCGAAACCGTTCGTAACAAATCTTGGTGGGAATTAGACATAATTTTCTGATTGATTCGGCCGTTACTTAATGAAGATCCATAGTAATTTCAAAAACTACACCTGACGATTTGATCTCCACAAACTTTATTTAGAACATATATCACAATATGTTTCGCTAGTACAGTAAATCCAGTGATTTGAATCACTTGATGAAACTACTGTGCTAGCGACACATGTTGTGATATATTTCTCGGATAAAGTTTCTGAAGATAGAATCGTGAGGTGTAGTTTTTGAAATTAGACATAAGTTACTTTCTCGATACTAAAAACAATAATAACAATTTTTGAATCATACATTTTTTATAAACCTTGATTTTTGTCTTTCATTGTTTTCATTGAATAATTTTTCAAGCAACATCGTTCCGCCTTCTTCTTCATTTCGCACCTCTTTTCAATTATGTTCTTAGTGGATTCAACTTCGAGTAGTAGTATATTCTTTAAAGTTATTCACATAGAATAAAGTAGCATTAGACCTCTGTAGGCACCCACTTCAACACCGTACTTGACAACTTTCAGAAAATTCATTTCGGAAGATTATCATTGCGATAACATATACAGTATGTTGAACAGATCATTCGCAAATATCCTATATCTTTTTTGAATTGTGTAATCATTGAATCCAATTTTCGTCACAAAAACTGCGTGGAGTGTATGAATATTTTCGTGATAAATAACTAAATGAAAATTGAAACCTTTTCTAGGACAAAATCATTCTAGAAGGACAATATTAATTTATCTGAAGAGAATATACTAAAATTAATCATTAGTAAAACAGCTCTACCAGTTTGTATAAAAACTTCCTTTTTAAAGCAGATTTTGGACTTTTTGATCGTGCATTCAGATGCTGCCTAATGTTAAACCGCCATGAAAAATCACTTTCACTCTGTGCAACAAAATAAAGTTGAAATGAATAAGCAGAAAATAACTCTTGCGTTCCATATAACAGCAACCTACGTTTGACATTGAATATTATTATTCATTCATCATATTTTTTCAGAAATGGCAGAAAACAAGGAACAGCCACCTAGTGTCAGAGTACGAGATCTCATCTCTGCATATGAAAGTAGAACAAATGCATCTATTAGAGTTGAGAACCTTCGACCAAGAGCGAAGTCGTTAGGAAACATTTTGGGAAAAAATGTAGTAGTGAGAACGAACGAAGTGGCAACATTGGAAGATGTGGAAACTGAATTAGATACATTCAGAGTAAATTTAAGTAAATACACTGTATATAGCAAAGAAAAACATGTTGAGTTGCAAAATCAAGTATTCAACATATTGACCAGCATTGGCAATATCAAAAGTAATGACGATGACGACCTCATCAAGAGAAAAAATCTTACAACGATAACTTTGGGCATGGTTTCTTCTCTCAACCAGAAATTACCTTCAAATAATGCACCAACTGAACGAAATATGAATAAATATGTCCCGTATGACGAGTTCAAAGAGAAAAGTAGAAAAAATCAATTGGAACGTGGTCAAGAACAACCTTCACAAAATCAAATTCTTACTACCTCTGAGTTTTCCAACTTTGACTTGTCCGATTCTGAAAAAATAATATCAGATAAGTCAGAAACTTCTGTAAAAAAACTGAGAAAACATTTTCAATCAGAAAACGAGATTTTGCCAATACCTGTAAGTCAGAATGAGAAAACACAAAGTCAAAAAGAAGAATACAAAACCGAATATTCACTAACTCTTGTGAGCAATGATGAACAGGGTGTAAAAGATTTGGATGCAGAAACAGATACTCCTGATGCAGTGGTAGAACATACATATCAGAAAAAGACTGAAAAAGAAACGAATTTGTCCGTTTTTAAATTGAGGGTATTATATGAAAAAAAGTCGGAGGAGAGTTCCAGAGGGCTTTCACTAATTTTCAAGAATGATACGTCAGAAAACCATCGGTTCAGATATAAAGTAGATATTCCCTATCTTGAGAAGCAGGAAAAGGTGAATAATTTCAGTAATACTTCCGGCTATGATCGTGATAACATTGAAAATGATGATAACTCCGCACCAAGTCTCACTGATTCAAATTACATGACAGCTTATAGCTCTATTGATGGATATGAGAGTGATAGCGAAAAGGATTCAGAAACGAATAGCGGAACTAGTTCACTAGAAAGCACAGGTAGTGTTAGAGAAGTTTTTTCCACTGAAATGACTCCAGTTGAAGATTCATGAAAAATAATAATTTTAACCGAAGAATGAGATATGTCACGGTATATCCTTTCGTTTCATGAAATGAATAATTTTCTCACTGATACAATTTTTGCATATCTTTAACCCTATTATTTTTACTATTATTAGATTATATTAACATTATTGAAGAGAGTAACTTCCTCAACACGTATAAACTCAAACTTGAAATCTTGTAAAGAGAGAGATATGAAAGTTGTGTTAGGTAATGATTCCATAAACACATTTGAACATGCTTCTAATAGTTTGCAATGTATTTAGTAACATAAAAAAACATCATTTCAAAAATACACAATCAAATCTTATCAAAAACATTACGAGGTGCTTCAATCTCAATCCCCCTAGTGCTTCTCACATCGGTGGAATTTGGAAACGAATGGTGAGACCAATCAAAACATCGTTGAAGTCCATTTGTCCATAAGAAAAAGTTATTTCTACGTTGATCACTGAAATTGAGTATATAATCAGAACTCACGCCAATTGATTCACATTGCGCTAGGTCCCAGAAGCGTTGACACCTAATTATTTTTTTATGATGAGATCTGGATTCATCCGGAATTCGGATACAATGAAATATGAGCTCTCAAGCAGAAAACAACGGAGAATTGCTGAAAGTATAGCCAATGCTTATTGGCGCCGGTGGATTGGGGAATAAGTAGAAGAAAGGTGGTTTTCGACGAGTTATCAAGATAAATTAGAAGATATCATACTCCGTTCAAAAATAAGGTGAATTTCAATTTTTCTCAAAAAGTAATTGTTTATTCATCAATATCTACTTCGCCTTCTTCAAAGTTTTCTTCGTCAAATGCAAAACGCCGTCTTTTCATGGGTCTCTTCAATCTTGGGAATCTGGTGAAAGAGGTGGCTAAGACATGATTACGGTGTTATTTTTGACAAAAAAAAGTATGAACAAGAAATGGCAAGGAAGCAAATACATTATCATGATGCAAAAACCATACATTGTTTTCCCACAATTTCGAACGTTTTCTTCTTATTGCTCATAGCAAGCGGCGAATAACTCAATACTCCTTATCGACTGTAGGATTATGTGGCAAGAACTCCTGATGCAATATGTCATGGTACTTGAAGAAAATAGCAAGAAAAACGTTGACATTTGATTGAACTTTTTTAGTCTTTTCTCTTCTCGGCTCTTCCATTGGGAAGATTGGCTTAAGTTTCGATTTCATAAACATATATACACCATCTATCACCAGTTATGAATCTTTCAAGCTGTTCCAGATCAACGTTGACATTGTTGAACAATTCCTGAGCGATGCTCATGCGACGGTTTTATTGGTCGAAACTCAGCAATTTTGGAACAAACTTCGTTGCCACAAGCTTCATGCCCAAAAATTTACGAGAAAATTAGAGCCAATTAGAGAAGTTACTTAACGTATCAGCAACTTCTCTAATAGTGGTTCGGCGATTCTCACTTTATCAACATTTTCATCGGTTATGTGCTGGGACGTCCAGGGCATCATCATTCACATCTTCTCGACCTTCTGTGGAAAGCTTGCACCACTTGTAAATATTTTTCTGATTCAGAATATAATCACCGTATGCCACTGTCAACAGTTCAAGTGAAATATGAGATTCAATAAACCCATTGTATTCGCTTGAAAATGTCCTTGTGGGATGAAACTGCAGTAACGTTAGTTCCAAATGCAAGTGATATAAAAACATAGGAAGTTTTAATTCTCATTTTTCATGATGATCTCCTACCACGTAGTGACGGCTACATCCATCAATTTATTGAAAAAACATTTCAAGTGTTTCTGAGCATTACATTTTTTATACAAAATTTGATGCAAATTTATTAATCCAGTTTTTTCGATAGCAGAAAATCACCGAACACTCAAAACCCTTGTAACTCCTATGCCTCTCACCAACAAACTAAACATGCTGAATAGTTGAAACTGTGAACATATGTTCGAGGCGAGTATACCAACCTAAAAAAAAAATAAAAATCGCTAATCGAATCTACGTAGTCCAAAATTTCAGAGATGTCATCAGGAAACAAATCCAATGTAACATCCAGTTTTCTTTACAAAAAATGTTGATTATTAAACTGAAAAGTGTCAAAGAAAGTGACATAAGCTATAAAGGTGATGCGGTGAGAAAATACTTGTGTTTATATATATTGTTGTTGTGTCGAAATAAACGCTGATAAGTTGCAATTTTCGAAACTTTGTAGGGTTATAACTCTGGAAATAAGAGAGAGCGCCGATACACAACTTGAATGTACGGCACAAAGGGTTATTATCTCCTTCGTTACACACTCACGAAATGTTCAAGCGATCATTTACATATCAGATATGCAACGTTTATAGTAATTTCCCCCCACCACCATTTAAAACATTTCAAAATACATATTTTCAAGCAAAAATTGAAAATTGAACTATCAGATAAACAAACTTTACTAGTCAATAATTCATCCATATGTATATTTCTTTTTTGTCGTTATTCGAATGCTGATCGATATCAAGTTTATAATGTTTTTTTTTTCTTTTTTTTCTGTATTCGTTATATTTTTGCTTCCAGTTCTCGTAGTTGGCTGTGAAGGTTAAGTGGTGGAACAAACCTGTAGTGTTCTACACTGCAGTTTTGAACTTCGCCTTTTGACTGTTAAATCCTATTTCACTCAATAAATACCATTATTATATTTTTCTCGGATTCATAATTTACATGGTAAAATACGTAGGAACACCTGATTTTTTTCAAAAGGGTATAGTGCAGCCTATCCGAAACTTCATCATATCTAATATATAAAAATGGATGTTTGTTGGTTGGTTGGTTGGTAATTGATAAACTTCTACATCGCTCAACCGATCGTGATGAAACTTGACATGTATAAGTAATTTTTCACAGAGAAGGTTTTTAGGCTATCAATTTTTCTGTAACTCGCCACAGAGAATTTTTTGAAAGCACTGTTCTATAACGCTGCGCATACCTAAGTTCGTTGATTCTGATTCTATCGAAACATTGGAACAGCAGCGATACAGCAACATAGTACTAGTTTACTTATATTATAAACATTACTAACACGTTCAAAATTCTAATTGATTCAAGATACATAATTTCTATTTTAATACTCAAAAATGTCTAAAGAAGTGCATGTCTAAAGTAAAAATGTATTTCAATACAGAATTGAGCACTATTCCGAATATATCTGCCTTATATTGTATCATCTTTGATCACGATTAGCCCCGTAGGTGAACTAGAAATTTCTAAATATTCCGCACTTTCTAAGAATTTGAAAAAAATATTATAAAAGTGAAAAAGAAACTGAATAGTGGATATTTTTGGATAGTTCAAGTGACTTGGCACATTTGATTCTACCAAGAGCGGGACATAAAAATACGCGACGGACTGTGGCTGCTCGTCATTTTAGGTTCAATTCAGTATACTTCGAACTTCACTGTTTAAGAACTCTTCCATTTGGAGAACTGCGTTTATGGGAAATAAACTTCCTGATAATGTTTTTCCGAGTAGATTTAATCTCTCACATTGGATTTGAATCGATACTTTCACACAGGCACCGCTCTTAGAGCGCCTTAGGGTTTTTTCTGTAGTGCTTGTATTTTGTCATTAAAAAATAAGAATGTCCCTGAAAAAAAAATTCGCATAGAATTTTCTTTCGAAAAAAATTATTTGTTTCTTCCATGTTATTTTCTTTTTGTATAAAGATCGAGAAGTAAAAAAGCAAAACTCACCTTTCCGAAAAAGTTTTTATCTAACATTTCTTTATCATATGAAGATATCTTCCTTATTTTTGTTATGTCGTAAGCATTGTCAATTGTCATTTGTCATTTTTTACAATTTCTTACCTGATATAAGTAACTACGTCTGATAATTTTATTGAGAGAAGAATTGTTTTCGAGAAAATACTCTGTATAAAAATATTTCCATTTCACATGCATTCAGAAGCTGATATCAAAGGTTGAAGGGGGCACTATAATCTGTAAGTCAGAGGTCTGTTGATTGGACCAGTCACTTTTGTGAAGTTTCTTTGAACATCCATCGATAACAACGAGCTGCATGTACCGGTAAAAGTGAGTAGAATTTTTTTTCACTTGATTAATGTCTTATGTAATTACCTTGTATAAACTAGTATTGAGATCGATCTCAAAAATAACAGTAGATATTTATCTCAATAGTTCTTACTGGAACTTCTGGCGTAAAATGAATCTTTTGAAAACATATTTCTAACACCAGAACAAAATTACGAACTATTGACGCGCGTTTCGCTAATCAAGTTAGCGTGCTCAGGAGATTTTTATGTCATAATGACTGTAATTTTGTTCTAGTGTTGGGAAAGTGTTTTCAATAGATTCAAAGTGATTAGGGTAAGTTGTACTGATTTCATAGATATTGAGAGAAAAATAGGAATTTCGTGCAATTTCATGTGAATCGACAATAATCCAGCAAATGAAATGAAAATTTTAGAATAAATATATATTTGTTGTGTAAAATTTTGCGGTGTTAATTATTTAGGAATCTAACGTGAAATATGAACCGCTATTTGTGTAACGCATTCCATGATTTTTGAAAAAAAAATTTAGTAGAAACGCAAAACCAAAATTTAACAAAATAACACATTCAAAAGAAAAAAGTTTATATCGATATTTGCACTGTGACTCAACTTTGAGTTTTTCGTTTGAGTGAAAATCATTTTTTGTTTTCTTTGGATATAAACATTGATCAATATTCACAGTATAATTTCGAGAGAGTATTTATGTAATACCTATACATCAACGACCCATTTTTAAGCGGAATAATTTCAAAAAAAATAAGTTTGACAGACAGCAGGAAGGAATAGTTCTTCAAAGTTATGAAATGGTAATATAATCGATGAACAAGTGATTCAAAAAAAAGGTAGTACAGTTTCTGGAGATTATGAAATGAAAAATATAAATCTACAGAAAAAATTTTGTTTTTGAATAATTCAATATTACAAGTAACTACTTCAGCTCAATTTTTTATATATCTGACTAAACTACAACTAGTTATTCAAAGAAATGATACATTTTAGAAATGATTCAAAGAAATCACAGTTCTGAAAATTTCCCATGTAATGAATGAAAAATTTCAATGACGTTTTTGAAAGAGTCCTAGAAGAGACAAAAAATGGGTGATAAAATAATGCTGACAAACTGATACGGTAGAAACTTTTGAATGTTCATTAAATAAAGACACGTCCAACTGCAAGGAGTCAATCTGAAATTACATGAACTATCAAACCTAAAAAGTATTGATTTTTTTTATATCTGCCTCCATGTCAGAAAAGTTCGCTTACTGATGATGATGTCGATGGCAA